TAATTCTCATTGTTGAGCTGTAGGTTAACAATGGATTTCAAGTTGGACATGAGAAACTTAAGAGGAGGGGGTATGACAAACTCAATCATGGAGGCTGAGATTGAGGATATCGGCGGTATTGCCGCTGAGGAGACCGGAGGTGTGGTTGCTGACGAATCTTGTTCAGCCATTGATGGTGAGGCTCAAAGTGCTCTGATACCAAGAAGAAAGCCCTGCAAAGAAGTTTAAGGAAGAAGAAGAAGAAAGTAGAACATGTGAAATACTGTTGTATTGAATTCGTGAGTTTCACTGTTACAGGATATGTATTATATAGAGTAGGAGAGAATGTAATGATGCTTTTTGGCAATCCATTGGAGGCAATCTGGCAAGACAGAGGAGATGGAGGCGGCTGTAGCAGCGTGAGTCGTTGGGGAACGTGGCTGAGTTAGCCCAGATGGTTGAGTGCGCTATCATTATTAAGATAAGCTTTTTGCACCAATGATGTGATAGCAAATATTGCCCAGATCATAAAGCGGCATACACTAAAGACATCTCATTTTAAATATGGAAGGCCAAGCCTTGATAATGATCGCTAGTAGGAAAAGATAAGTAGGTGATGATTTTGGTTACTCAAATTAAACTCTCTCTCTCTCTCTCGATGATCAAACGACATGATTGAGAGAATGTTCATAATATCATGAAGTTATCTCTCTCTTTTTTATATTTTCTATATTTTGAATGATTTTGTTATTTTTTTTTTTAAGAACTTCAAACTATACAATTTTTTTTCTGGTATTTATAATTTATTAAAAGAAGTAGAATTGGGAAAATGAAGAGTTGCTTAAAATATAGTCATTTATTGAACTTTACAATGTGAAATTAATTCATCCCTCAAGAAAAAAACAAGAATACAGATATTAATATTGGTCATATACACTTTAGGATGATTCAATACAACAGGACTAATACAGAGAGAGAGAGAGAGAGAGAGAGAGAGAGAGAGAGAGAGAGAGATCTAAATCCATCACTAGGAGAATTTATGAAGCTAAAAGTATACCGAACCTAGTGTGGTTGGAAAATAGTTCTAATCTATGAGTTAAATATTGAGTGAACCAGGTGCAATTGGAGTAATCCAGGGTTAATGCTAGAATAACCGTCTAGCAACTACAAACCCTAAAAAGTTCTTATTTGTTCTATGTCACATTGGAAGAACTACATGTAATTGTGATAGACATCTCTTAGAAAAATTTAGGCTTCGTTTAGAATGACTTTCTCATTGCTTCTTAAAGCAACTTTTTAGTTCAAAAATTAAAAATTTTTAACTAATTTATGTAGTGCTAAGAAAGCCATCCCAAACGAAGCCTTAGAAAGAATAGATGATGTTTAAAAAATTTGAGTGTTTGAGGTACATTTGGAAGTGATGCCAACACATATAATTGGGTTTGAGCTAATAATATTTAATGTAGATTTGTATAGGTTTGTGTACTAATGTTTTAGGAAGAAATTATAAGAGAATTTCTAAGAAATTGAGCTGGTCAAGGAGAAAATATATGACTCAAACAAAGCTATTAGCTCAAGACTATTAAGCAATTTTGTTATTAAAACAGCTCAAGTTAGCCAGAAAGTAAAAAAATTTAAGCCAATTAGAAAATTTTAAAGATAAGATTTCATCATCTAGAGTTTTTTTATATTTGTATTTCAAGTATAGTGGTAGCCAAGATAACTATCACACATATAAGAGTAAAATGGGTAAAAGTAAAATCAGGAAGAAAATCAAAGAACATTGATCATATTTGATCATAATGTACAAATAAAATTTGTCCTATATGATCAATTAAAATTCAAATTTGATGAAGTATCGTGTGATTGGATTTATTTTTAAAATATAAGAAGATAATTTTTATTAAAATAAGAATATTTGATAGTTAATAAAAATTAATCTCAAGATTATAATATGCATTACATATCATATGATATAATATGCCTTATTTTACTATAGATATAACCAAATCAATTTGCATTATTTAAGACAAATTCAAAATTTAATTAATCATAATATACAATCAGCATAATTATCTTCATTTAATCAATATTGTATTTTGCATTATTACTTTAATTCAAATTTTATATAATGTATTAATTAGCTTAATTTATTTGATGATTTGATGTGAATCAAGTTAAATGGGTTGTAATTCCCAATCAATAACAACTCGATTTTTTATAAAATTAGAGTTACAAAGCTATGCATTTATTATAAAAAGATTTTCATCATACCCTATATATGAGAAATGGAGATAGAGCAAGAGCGGATAGAGAAAAGAGAGATTTCTTGTAATATCATTCTAAACCTTCTCTAGCCTCTCTCGCAGGGAAAATTATTGCCTTCAGTGTCCGGATTCATCCGGACACCAATCCAGACGCGTCACGTCAGCAAAATATACTCGGGCCCAGTGTATTTGGGTGACGTTGCGCATCTGGATTGGTTGTCCGGACATCAGGTGACCGGACGCAATAATTCGCCCTCTCATAGCCACCAAAAGCCCTCCTCGCATTCGCCAAACCTAAAATCAGCAAGCGTCGTCTTCAAAATCTTTTTATTCTCCTTCAATAATAAGCTTTTTCATTATATCTTCTACCCTCCATCTCTTTTATTTTCTTCTTTATATTTATCAAATATAATTATGATTTCTTCCATCGTTTAACTAGTTATGTTGGATGGAGATTTTATAGCTTACATTGGGAGGAAGTCTTATTTGTGTTTGATGTTTGAATTGCTATATTATCAATTAGACTTGATTAAGAATATTCAATATATTTCTATATTGATGTATTTAAGCTTGGATTTGTAAACCTTATGTTTCATACTTTGGCGTATTCAAGAATATTCTTATTTGTAGAGCCTTCGAGTCGTGACCCTCGTAGCATTGCGGTTGATTATCTTGTAAGCTTGGAGTTAATTTTGTGATGTTCTCCTAAAGGTAAATAACTAAAATTTATTTTTTTTAGTTTGGTTTACAGAGGAGGCGGGTTTTGAAGATACAGGGAGGTGAAGGTAGTACAGCTCCACACAGTAACTTGAATACAAGTTTGGCGTGGAGCTGAGAAGGTTGCTGTGGGTATTTGGAGTTTGAGACAACAGAGGGAAGCAACTGGAGGAGAGCTGCTGGAGGAGACGAGTTATTGGGATAGAAGTTTGGTCGTGGCTTTGGAATTAATGGCTGGGTTGGGAGGTTGGGGAGGAATGCCAAGCAAGGGATCAGCAAGGTTATCTGACCCAATAAAAATTCCCCTCAACGCCTTAATTTTGAAATGACAGGACTGCATTAGCAAAGTTAAATTGCCTTGATTAGCGTGCAATTTTCTTGGTTTGCGTGCTTCGCTTAACGTGTCGATCTCATCGAATATCAAAATTGGATAAATTGATAATGCATTTAGGGTATTGCCGACGTCCCGGTCGCAACGGTGCTGTCCGTCTTGCGATCGGACGTCATTTGAGCATCGCCGAGATCTCATTTTCCTCAAAATGCATGTTTTGCCTCGAGATTCGTGCCACCATCATGAATACTTAAATTGAATAACAAAATACATTTTTCAGAGGTTGACAACGTTCCGGACGCAATGGCGCTATCCGTTTGTCGATCCGACATCATTTGGTTTCCGACGAGGCTAATTTTCCTTGTAATGCGTGCCTTCGCAACATATTTGAACCGCCTTTGAAAATTGCGACATCACCTCAAACGATCCAATTTAATCAAATAAAATTTATATTCTTAATGTCGACGACGTTCCGGACGCAATGACACTGTTCGTTTGTCGATCCGATATCGTTTGATTGGCCTTGCGCTTTAATTTCGGGTGTCGGTCATCCTTTTTGATCGATCTTGTCGGATTCGATTGCGAGGGGCTTCGACCTAGCAGAATTCGACGTCCTGATCGCAACGACACCATCCGTTTGGCAATCGGAAGTCATTTGACCCTTCAAGTGACGCATGGCACCAAGGTGCGTAATGCTTTATTCACCAATTGGGGTTCTTTCTCGCGTGGTTTGAGGTATAGGGGGTCAACACTCTTACTCTCATCTTGTCTCTCTTCTCTCTTGCACCGTTCTCACTTTAGAACTAACCAAGAGATTCCATATAACTACCAAGGAATACAACCCTTAATGAAAATTTAGAAAAAAAAACTGCTTAGTTGGCTTGCAATGTCGTGTTGCTAAGTTGGAGCACTGCGGTGCTACATTCTCTATTCATGTCTGCATGACAGAGCCATATCACTAGGGTCTAGTGCGCCATAGCACTCCTTGAAAGCGTAGTAGCGCCGTAGCGTTTCTCTCTCTGTCTTTTTCCAAGCAAACTATGCAATGCCGGGGTGCTTGGGAATACAGCATCAGGCGTTGTATGGAATTTTTTTTTTAGGTGCAAAACACCCAAACCTAAGCAAAGGGAGAAACCTCTGCAGCGAGCTTAACAGATTAAATTGAGGTCCAAAGCAACAATACAATGCGATTGATCAACATAATCAGATTGCACGCAGAACTAACATATAAAAGTGTTGCTGCAGCGTTGAAGAATTTTGACTAAAATAAAATTTGAATGACATGTCATGAAAAAAAACATAAAGAAACTACTTTTTTCAGTATTTCGGCTAAAATATTACAACATTATTAACAAAATAATGCTAAAACAACCAAATGTTTCATCTATTTGCAATGTTCGATCAACTTGAGCTTCTTTAAATTATTCTTTTCCTTTTAAAATGTTCATCTATTTGTACTGATGTCATTCTTTGTTTTTCTTTCCTCATGAAATTCAGTCCTGGATGAGAAAAGTGGAGGGTTGCGTTAGGTAGTCGACAGCCAGCGTAAAACTTGTCGAACAATAATGACATGAATCCTTTAAGAAATTGTGTTAATGCTAGGGCGTCCCGCTTGATGTTGTTGTTGTTGTTGTTTTATGAAATTCAGTAAATTCCATGTTTTAAAGTTGATAATTCAATTGATTTCTACTTTCATGATGTACAAGGCTACACTCGAACAAAAGAAAATAAATGATTGGATTGAAGAAAAGACGAATGGGGTCATAAAAAATCTAATTCTTGATGGCACAGTTGACAACACAACCAGGTTAATCCTTGCCAATGCCCTCCACTTCAAAGGAAAGTGGCAAGAGAAATTTGATCGCTCAATGACCCAAAATAACAATTTCTATCTCTTAGATGGCAGCACCATACAAGTACCCTTCATGAGCAGCAGAAAAAAACAATTTATCTCATCTTATGATGGATTCGAAGTCCTCAAACTCCCATATAAGCAACAAGAGAACAACCAAGGAAACAGAAGCTTTTCCTTGCTGCTTTTTCTTCCAAACGAGATTAACGGACTTCAAGATCTTATCAACAGAGCTGTTTCTGATCCAAATTTCATCAACGAACACGTTCCTTACAATAGAGTTGATGTTCAAAGCTTCATGGTTCCAAAGTTTAAGATCTCATTCAGCTTTGAAACTACTGATGTACTATCAAATCTTGGCCTAAAAAGCCTTTTCAGTTGGTCAGCTGCGGATTTGAGCGGAATGTGCTTGGAATCAGCAAGGCTTTGTGTATCAAGTATTCACCATAAAGCTGCTATTGAGGTGGATGAAGAGGGTACGGTAGCAGCAGCTGCAACAGCTGTAACAGTTATGTTGATGTGTTACATTCCGCCGGTGAGCTTTGTTGCTGATCATCCTTTCATGTTTGTTCTTCGAGAAGATGTAACAGGTGTTATTTTGTTCTTTGGCCATGTCGCGAATCCATCAGTTTTAGGTTGATTAATGCATCTATATTCTTGTAGCAGAAGACAAGTCTGCCAGCCACAATCTGATTTGGTGTTTTGGTTAATACAATGAATTCATCTTGACATTTGATAGTTGGTTTAAGTGTTAAATTAAACTATATAAGTTGTTTTATTTATTTATATGTTTTGGACCGTTGAGCACATGCTTCGTTTGGGACGGTGATGCAGAGCATTGTAGCTTAAAAGGTTGCTTAGGATATCTTATGTAGTTTGTTTCAAATTTGTTTTATGTTTTCTAGAATCTTCTAATTTCTCTAGGTTTATCTAGGTTTCTTCGCTTAAGGATTATATATAGTATAATGTAAGGAAGGAGTATTGATGAATATTATATGAATTGAAGCTTAGTGCTTGGTTTGTTCTTTTGTTCTTTGGAAATCCTTCAAGCATTATCTTCTTCCAACGATCCAACGATATCCCCCCACATCAGACGGCTTTCTTATTGCTTCTTAAAGCAGCTTTCTAGTATAAAAATTAAAATTTTTGTACTAAAAAATCATTTTAAGAAGCAATAAGAAAGTCATCCCAAACAAAGCCTTAAATTCGCATATAAGAAATCTGTTTCTCAATGGCTTGAAATCAACATAGATGATTATTTTATGATATGGAAATGTGATCTGGAACTTATAGTGAAATAAAAAGTTATCTAGATCTGTGGGATGGTGGGAGAGCTGAGGTTAGCTTAGTTTAATTGACTTGATTTAGCTTTTTAGAAAATAAATTTAATGCAGGTTTAGTTGAGGGAAATAGATGTGAATGTTTATGTTATAATGTGAATTTATAGTTTGGGACTTTTGTTAGAGATTTATTAGGTTTAGGAGCTTTTGTATAATTTTTGTTATCATTCCCAAGCTAAAAAAATTTCATTTCTTACTAACTCTATTTATTGGGAGAAGAGAAAAAATTTGGGATAGTTTTCTCACAATAATTTCACATCTAACTTTATAAAATGTTGCAATCATTCCAACTAGACTCTTAGGATTTGTTTGGGATAGTTTTCTCATTGCTTCTTGAAGCAGCTTTTTAGTACAAAAATTTTTGTACTAGAAAGCTGTTTTAAGTAGTAAAAAAATTGTCCCAAACGAAGCCTTAATTAGTAAGGGTATGTTCATGATTATTAAGATAAGCTTTTTGCACCAATGATGTGATATCAAGTATTGCCCAGATCATATATATTTTCTATATTTTGAATGATTTTGCTTTGTTTTTTTTTTTTTTTTTAAGAACTTCAAACTATTCAAAGTTTTTCTTTTTTTTGGTATTTATAATTTATTAAGAGAAGTAGTGTTATGTGTCACATTAGAAGAACTACTTGTAATTATGATAGATGTCTCTTAGAAAAACTTAGGCTTCATTTAGAATGACTTTCTTACAGCTTTTTAAAGCAGCTTTTTCGTTCAAAAATTAAAATTTTTTAACTACTTTATGTAGTACTAATATTTTAGGAAGAAATTATAAGAGAATTTCTAAGAAGTTGAGCTAGTAGAGGAGAAAATATATGACTCAAACAAACCTATTAGCTCAAGACTATTAAGCAATTTTTTTATTAAAGCAGCTCAAGTTAGCCAGCAAGTAAAAAAATTTAAGCCAACTAGAAAATTTTAAAGATAAGAGTTTCATCATCTAGAATTTTTTTATATTTGTATTTCAAGTATAGTGGTAGCTAGCCAAGATAACTATCATACATATAAGAGTAAAACGGGTAAAAGAAAAATCAGGAAGAAAATCAAAGAACATTGATCATATTTGATCATAATGTACAAATAATGGTGTTGTTGGATTCGTATTTCCGAGACGCTCAGTTTGACTGTAAGCTCGTTGAAATCGGAGTTCGGATGCCCCCGGATTTAATTTTTGAAGTCTCCAACTAATTTTTGCCTCGAGATTCGTGCCTGATCAAGCTAATTTTGTGATGACGTATCAGAACTCAATAGCACCGTATGTCGTCCGCCATTTGCTCCTTTCGAACTCCAAATCGTACGTGAACAATGCGACACCAATATTGACGTTGAACTGTTCACCTACCCAAAAAAATTCACTACCTGATTTGTCGAAGAAGTGCAAGAAAGAGGGGGAAAATGTGCCAAAGATAATTATCTTCGCAGGAAGACCGTGAAAGAAGAAGAAATTGCGTTTGATTGAAGAAGAATGACTACATTTTGAAATTTCACTACATTTTAGAGTGAAAAATGAATTTTTCGGTTGGAGATGCCTAAGAGCATCAATTACTTGGAGAAAATGATCTAGTAAGAAAATGAATTTAAAATTTCTCCAAAGAAATTTATATTACCAACAAGTATTATTTATGAAAAGCAAACTCGCTTAAGAGCCACACGAATCATGGGCCAAACAATCCAACAAGAACAGCGCAAACAAATAAATGAGAAACAAAATCCACAATATCAAACAGGTGAACCAAAAAAAAAACAGTCCAGTACAGCATTTTCAATCAGTGCTACGAAAACGGCAATTCTTCACTAAAGATCGTTCGCTTGGCTGATTTATTCAGATCATCAATGACAAACGTCTTTGTTGTCCTGCGCCACTGTGACATAGCACACGAATCAGTAAACTCAATCAATTAAAAATTTTGTTCAATCAAATGTTAAAAGACTCACCTTTGCTGTGAGCTTCGCTCGCCGACGATTTAGGAGAACGGTCGCCACCTCCGAGAAGCGAAGTAACGGTCTCTTTAAGTCTTTCCATCACACCCGCCCCACTTCCACCCTCGCCGAAGCCCGACTTCTCTGTCGCCGGCGGCGCCTCCACTGCCTCATTCGTCCTCATCTGTCCAGCCTCCGTTATCAACTCCGAAAGAGCCTTCTCGTCCTCCCCTGGCGTCAGCTTCTCCGTTATATACTCCTTTATCGAAAGCCCCTTATCCTGTTTCTCCACCGCGTCATCTTCAACGTCCTTTCTAGCTTCAGGTTTTACTTTTGAGATCACCGCCGACCCTGCATCGGCCACTAATCCATACACCTTGGAAGCTGCCGACGAGACCATGCTGGTGTAGCTGCTGTTTTGGTCTTTGGGAAGCTCCGTTTCTCCTCTGTCGTTCTGGGCGGAGATGGTCATCGCCTCCAAGGAGCGGCTGAGCTCCGGCGACACGTCAACCTCTTCGCCACCTGTTTAGCCACAGAAATCGTTACCTTATAAAAAAAAAAAAACTCTTTTTTTATTCAAATTTATATATATGAATTTCAATCTATCACAGGAATCAGCATTCAAACAGACATAAATTTCATTAACTTGATGAATTGAAGAAAGTCCGACACTTGCAATTAAAAAAATAATGATAAATTAATGACAAACCTCGCCTGAGTCCACCTCTTGTAATCGTATCAGTTTCAGTCCTCGGTGCGTCTGGATCCTCATCAAACTTCGTCGTGCTCAAACCCAAACCAGCACCACCGCCTCCTCTTCCTCCCAACATCTCCTTCCCTCCGGTTCTCATACCAATAGCCGAGCTCTCATACACTAGCAAAGCATACAAATTAGTTCAAAACAGAGCAAGCAAAGTAAAGATGTGTAAACATATAAATATGGAAAAGAGCACGCGCGCACTTGGGGCGCCATGGACTTCAGGGTCGTCCGACATCTCATCGTCCTCCACGAACCCATCGTCTCCTTCATCCAAGTCGCCGTGTTGGTGGTAAGTATCATCATCAACGCCTTCGTCCCCATGGCCATGTGATTTCTTGGTGATGGCATTCTTTATCTTCTTCACCTTGTCTTTTACTTTCTTCATGACAGGCTTCTTCTCATGGTGCTCTTGTTCTTCCACTGTTTGTGGTGGGTTTTCGCCTTGGAGGTAGGTGGTAGACGGGGCTGTGACAGTTTCCATTGCGCAGCGATTAGAATCTGAGAAAGGTAGAAGAAAGGTTTTTGCTTTGATACAGGAAGAGAATGGAGGGAGGGTCTAGTTATAGAGATTGGAAGGTTGGGTAATGGGAATTGGTAATGGTGGAACACGTGTTGCAGAACGTGGAGTTCGGGGATCGGGAGCAGCCGAGCAGCAACGCATGTTCGCCACTTCGCAGCCCATTTGGATTAACATGTTTAGCGAATAGTTCTTTGGGTATTGAGGTGGACAACCATCTCAGCAAATTGGGCTTTGAAGTTTAGTTTTTCACTCCAAAAAAAAAAAAGGTTAATTTTTATTTATTTTTAAATTTTATTTTAAGATATTATCCTACAAAATATATTAAAATTAATCATTATAGACGAAAAATGTATATTTATTATCCAAATTTTGTATAAAAATTCTACATACATAGATAAAAAATTATGAAATATAAAAACAATGTGAAAATGTAAAAAAGGAGAACAATCATCGGACCTAATCTAGTAGAATGAATTAAATAAATAATAGAAGATATAAAATCCTCCTTTTCTTATAATTAAAGGAGATAGTTTTACATAATTTGAGAACATTATTTGATTCTCATTAGAGACTTGCAAAAACTAAGTTTTCCTAGAGAGACAATTTGATGCGGAACATCATAAGCTAAGGAATACTCTACCCCTTTTATGCACTAGTCTTTATGCTTAGTTTATTACCGTTATTTGCTCAGTAGCTATGCTCCACTACTTTTGTTTTGCCCTTTCTGTTAATTTCCGTACAGTTAGCCCTTTTGGGCTATAGCTTTATTCTGCTTATATAGTGTAAAAGGAGAAGAGGGGAAGATAGAAAAAGAATATAGAAGCTAATTACATAGCCAATTTGGTTCCTTGAGTTACTGTTCTATTCGTTTTGCTGTTCTACCTTTCTCCCACAGATACCCTACACCAGTTTTGGTATCAGAGTTCGGTTGCTTGGGGGCAAATGGCGGAGAGTAGCAGGCGATGGGTTGGCGACGGAGTTCGCAACCTTGACACTCTGTGGGAACTTCATGACAACCTTAATCAAAGGTTAGATGAAATTTCTAATGACCTTTTTCGATTGTCCATGGATATGCGTAGGGAGTTTCAGGCTATTCGAGCTGAAATGGAGGGGACGCGCCGCCAACGACCGCACGCACCGACTGTGACGGATCCGTGTAGAAGAGAACACGGACGCATTCCTGATCGGAGACGACTTCATCCCAGTTCGGAGCTGACCGATTCAGAAGAAGATGAGCAAGAACCGCTTAATGTCGATGCACCATCTGAGTCGGAGGAAGATCAGATACCGGCTGCGTTCCATCGACGATGTTGTGGTGAATTCAATCGCCTGTCACAAGGAGTATTCCGAGTGAAGCTCGATATTCCGTTCTTTGACGGCCGACTCCACATTGAGGATTACTTAGACTGGGAGAGATCTGTAGAAACGTTCTTTGAGTACATGGACATTTCGCCGGATAAGCAAGTGAAGTATGTTGCTTGTCGATTGAAAGGGGGGGCTGAAATTCAGCTGAACCGAGCTTATAAACCATATTCAGGAAGCCGGCTAGCTACAGACCATCATTTGGAGAATGTTAGAAGCAGCAACACACAAGGGAAGTTAACGCCTGCGGGGTCTAATGCTCCAGCCACATCGCCAGCTGCAGGACCGAGTGGTCTTCCAGGAGCGACTTATGATCCTAAAGTGCAGCCTAGATGGAAACCACCTCTCCGGGATAATCCCTATGCTAAGCCGAACACTATCAAATATTTCAGGTGTTTCCAAGTTGGGCACAAGTCGAATGAGTGTCCAAGTCGGCCACAGTTACAATTAGCTTATCCTGAAAACGAGGAGCCGCAAAATGAAAATGAAGAACCCAATGCCGAGCTGGAGGAGGAAATCACTCCTGATTCTGGAGAACCATTGGTGTGTGTCATGGAGAAAATCTTATTAGCACCACGACAGCAACAAAATTCACAGCGAAATATAGTTTTTAAGACGAGATGTACTGTCAATGGCAAAGTCTGCGACCTACTCATTGATAGTGGGTGCACTGAGAACGTCATTGCTCGCTCCGTTGTCCAGGCATTGCAGCTCAAGACCACCAAAAATTCCCATCCCTATAATATAAGTTGGGTTAAGAAAGGAATGTACATCGTAGTGACGGACTTGTGCAGGATAACATTTTCAATCAGTAAGCACTATGTCTGTGAGGTGCTTTGCGATGTACTCGATATGGATGTGTGCCATATTATACTTGGGTGACCTTGGCAATTTGATGTTGGAGTCATCTATGACGGTAGGGCCAATTCGTATTCGTTTCATTGGAAGGGAAGAAGACTCAAGCTGGTTCCATACCCAGTTGACTGCCATGAGTCTCAAAAAAATAAGGTGGCCATTATGCATATGGTGTCGGGAGCGGCATTGGTAAATGCGGGGAAGGAAAACTCCTCAATGTTAGCTTTGGTCATTAAGGAGCAAAGTACTCCAAGTGTTACTACGACGTCACCAGAGGTTCAACAATTGCTGAAGAAATTTTCTGGGCTTGCTCCTGAAACATTGCCAGCAACTCTGCCTCCTCTTCGTGCCCTACAACATCAAATCGACCTAGTACCGGGAGCCAATCTACCCAACTTTCCCCATTATAGGCTAAGTCTGAAGGAACACTCTACACTACAGCAGCTAGTGGATGAGTTATTGGAGAAGCAGTTAATTCAGTCGAGTTTGAGTCCTTGTGCCGTTCCCGCGCTTTTAGTACCCAAGAAAGATGGATCATGGCGCATGTGTATGGATAGCCGAGCTATCAACAAGATCACGATTAAATTTCGTTTTCCCATTCCTCGCCTTGATTAATTGCTGGAAAAGCTAGCGGGATCTGCTATATTCTCTAAGCTGGACTTACGTAGTGGTTATCACCATATTCGCATCCGGCCTGGAGACGAGTGGAAAATAGCATTCAAGACTCGCCAAGGCTTGTATGAATGGAAGGTTATGCCCTTTGGGCTTTGCAATGCTCTGCCTACCTTTATGAGACTTATGAACGAAATTTTAAAACCATTCTTGAATAAGTTTTGTGTTGTATACTTTGACGATATTTTAATTTTCAGCAAGACACTGGACGAACATATGCAACATTTGGCCCAGGTTTTTAAAGTTTTGCAGGACAACAAACTCTACTTAAACTTATCCAAATGCGAGTTCGCCACACCCAGTACTTATTTCCTGGGATACATCATTTCGGCAGAAGGTGTGCTGGTTGATCCGGTAAAGGTTAAGGCTATTATTGATTGGCCTACTCCTCAGTCTTTTTTTGACGTTCGAAGTTTTCATGGTCTTGCGAATTTTTATCGACGATTTATAAAAGGATTCAGTGTCTTAGCTGCTCCACTGACTGACTGTTTGAAGGCCAAACAATTTGTATGGACCGAGTCTCAAAATGACAGTTTCCTAGCTATCAAAATGGCCTTAGCAACGGCCCCTGTTCTCCCTTTACCCGATTTCGAAAAGCCTTTTGTTGTTGAAACAGATGCCTCTGCTACGGGCGTGGGTGCCGTCCTAATGCAATTAGATAGGCCTGTTGAATATTTTAGTGAGAAGCTGTGCCCGGCTCGGCAGAAGTGGAGCGTTTATGAGCAAGAGCTCTATGCAGTTGTTCGAGCTCTCAAATAGTGGGAACATTACTTATTACATCAAGATTTTTTGCTTCATAGTGACCATAAGGCTTTACAGTATATAAACAATCAAAAGTCACTTAACCGAATGCATGCTAGGTGGATCCTGTTCTTACAACGATTCACCTTTGTTCTTAAGCATAAATCATGTTCTCAAAACAGGGTGGAGGATGCATTAAGCCGGCAATCCTCATTATTAGTGCAATTGCAAACTGAGATCACGGGGTTACAATGCCTTCAGGAATTATACCCCTCTGATAAGGATTTTAGTCAGGTGTGGGCCGCCTATTTAGAACAACCTTCTGTGGATAATTATGCCATAAGACATGGGTACCTGTTCAGACAGCACGCTTTATGTATACCGGATTCGTCGTGGCGATAGCAATTGATCCGAGAGATACATTGCGGGGGATTGGCCGCACATGTGGGAAGAGATAAAACTATAGAGCAGCTGCAGCTTCGCTTCTTTTGGCCACATTTGCGAAAGGATGTTACCAAATTCATTGAAAGGTGCTCGATTTTCCAATCCTATAAGAGCGGAGGACAAACTGCTGGTTTATACTTGCCACTGCCTGTACCTGCTTCCATATGGGAAGATCTCAGTCTAGATTTCATTCTAGGGCTACCTCGAACGAAGAAGGGTAATGATTCTATCATGGTTGTTGTAGATAGATTCTCCAAAATGGCGCACTTCATTGCTTGCAAGAAGACATTCGATGCTCTTAATATTGCTCGTCTATTCTTTAGAGAAATCGTTCGTTTACACAGCATACCACGAAGCTTAACGTCCGATCGTGATGTTAAGTTTGTTAGCCATTTTTGGCGTGAGTTGTGGAAGCGCCTTCAAACCGACATCAACTTAAGTTCGGCATATCATCCACAATCCGATGGTCAGACGGAAGTGGTAAACCGCACACTAGGCAACATGCTGAGATGTTTGGTACAAGAACACCCGAATCAGTGGGATGAGCTACTTAGTCAGGCTGAATTTGCTTATAACAGCATGCCAAACCGTTCTATGGGTACTTCACCTTTCTATATTGTGTACACAAAGGCACACAATCACACCGTGGATGTGGTTGTTCTACCTAAGTGTGCAAACCGAAGTGCAGCTCAAATAGCCGAGCAGTTTACAAGCTTTCTACAGGACGTTCGCCTCAAGCTTCTGGATTCAAATTAACAGTATAAAGCAGCTGTCGATTCTCATCGACGGAAGAGAATTTTCAAATCAGGTGAATTGGTGATGATCCGTCTCCGGCGCGAACGGTTACCTCCGGGAAAGTATTCGAAGCTGGGTCGCCGAAAGGTTGGACCATTTCCCGTACTCTAAAGCATCAACGACAACGCCTATGTTATTGATCAACCGCCTGACTTTGGGACTGCATCGACTTTCAATATCACTAACATTCACCCGTATTACCCAGCAAACGATGGCCCCGTATCCCATTCTGCTGAGACAGCAGAATCTTCGATGGCGGAGAAGAACTGATGCGGAACATCATAAGCTAAGGAATACTCTACCCCTTTTATGCACTAGTCTTTATGCTTAGTTTATTTACCGTTATTTGCTCAGTAGCTATGCTCCACTACTTTTGTTTTGCCCTTTCTGTTAGTTTCCGTATAGTTAGCCCTTTTGGTTGTTACACCCTTTTGGGCTATAGCTTTATTCTGCTTATATAGTGTAAAAGGAGAAGAGGGGAAGATAGAAAAAGAATATAGAAGCTAATTACAGAGCCAATTTGGTTCCTTGAGTTTCTGTTCTATTCGTTTTGTTGTTCTACCTTTCTCCCACATATACCCTACATCACAATTTAAACCAAACAATGAGGTTAAATATTAATAGTTAAGCAACTAATGGCGTTGGTGAGCCGAACCGGCTAGCGTTTGACTTATTAACAAGCTCACGAGTCCATCTTATCAAACCACAAGTTTGAGCTCAAGCCTAAACTCGAGCTCATATATTAAACGAGCTCGAGCTCAGCTTGGCTAGGCTCGAAAGGTTGTTGAGCAGCTCGATTAACTTAAATTACATTTAATATTAATTTAAATTAATATAATATAAGATATTTTAATATTTTTAAAGTAATTCTATATTTCTTATTAAAAAGATGAAAATTTTTAATTTAAAACTAAGAAATTGCGCTAAAAAATATAGTCAAACTTGAGCTTATAAAATTTTTAAAGAGTCGAGCTCAGTAAGAACTAAACAAGCGTAGGCTGATTATACGAATAATTTACTCAACTAGACTTATTTACACCCCTACAAGCAGCAATTAGTCAGATAATGGAAGTCTAACAATGGTGATGATAATTGCTGATGATGGTTGTCGACAGTGAAAAATGACAAATGCAATGGAGTTCTTTAGCTCTCCTAGCTTTGCAGCACCCAAATATATTGTATGTACTTGATTTTGGTTCATCTGAACTCAAATTGAATAACTTATGATGTCGATAGGCTCGTCTCATCGGTATATTCGATTTGCCTATAAGTTTTTTGAAATAAAAGTTCATATGGTTATAAATTTAATTTCAAAACTTTCAACTTCAAAAAGTATTGTTATTTGTGTTCTCGTATGAATTTCCAGGAGACATATCACATATATAGCACTAATCTTCATGCAAAATCAGCCTATTTTGAAGCTCGTTCTAATATATTTTGCATTAAAATATTTTTGAAAGTATAATTATTTAAAGTGCTGGTACAAATACTATGATGCAAAGTGCATCAAAATTGGCTTCAAAGCCATCTGATTTATATCGAGATTAATACATTTTAAGATATTTATATACCATGGCTTCACATTTAAATTGGACGATTTTGAAGTTCATTCTGATTTTAGATTATAATATCTTAATATGTATATATTCATATGATTATTTAACTCATTGTTCACTAAACACTAGGTTTTTACAAGTATCTATAGATTAGTGGTTGTTGAAAGTTTTTAACTTATATTAATTATAGTTCATTCAAGTTATCATACATAGCATTAGCTTTCATAGTAATTGGACAGCATTTAAGCCATTTTAATGTATTTTACATCAAAACGTTTTTTTTATTTCTATTTATTAAAAAAGTTGTCCATATTTTGATTTAAAATACATCAAAATAAGCATTAAAGTAATATTATTTTAATTTTCGTACTAAAATTTTATTTTAAGAAGTAATGAAAATGTGGTCCCAAATGAAGCCGTTGGCTTTTTTACTGGTTCTTAAAGCAACTTTTTAGTACAATGAATTAAAATTTTTTATACTTAAAAACTGCTTTAAGAAGCAATATGAAAGTCTTCCTAAACGAAGCCTAATACATTTAAGATATCATAGATAACTACTCTTTATATAATTTGGATGGCTTTAAAATTCATTGTATATTTCAGGCTTTGTTTGGGACAGGTTTCTAAAGTAGTTTTCAAGAAAAAAAAAATCAAAATCAAGAAATTTTTAAATTGAAAAAATATTTTAAAAAATAATAAAAAAGTTATACCAAAAGATGTCTAAGATAAGATTCAATTAATATATGTGTATTTTTGCAAGTCTAATATAAAGGATAGGTAGATTAGTGGTTGTTGAAATTTTTTTATTTTAAATTATAGATTTAAGTCATATAATTTATCTCTATATTTTAAAAAATAAACGTATAATATGTTACATCTAGAAAATATAATTTATTAAAATTTGGTGTTTAATATTACAGTTTTTTTTTCTTTAATTTATGCTAATTTCATAAGATTTACACGCATATAATGGATTTCATATTGTAAATAATTATTATTTTGAATTATATATTTTCGAATTTAAATTCCACGTAGGGAGTAGGGAGCTTGGAAGCTCCGAGGCTTGTTGGCCACGCCAAATGGATATTTTATAATTTTTTTAGAATGTAGAGAATTTTATACAAATTTTTGTTAGTAGAGGTCAACGAACCTATTAGGACACTTGTATTAAGTAACACAAAATTGTACTTACTGTTATTTACAAGTTTACCTGTAATCTCTTATAAATAAAGTAGCTCTGCTCTCACCGTAGTTGAGACAGAACTTTCCTTTCTCTGTCATCATCTTCTTGTTCTTGAATCTCTACATGGTATCAGATAGGTTCCTCTCCTGAGGCAAATTTTTTTCATGGCCGATCATCTTCCTCTCTCGTCTCAATCTGACGAAACTCACGGTGATGTCTCTTCTCAATCTACCATCTCTCCCTCCCTCAAATTCGTCATCTCTAACCTCAAAACGCTTGTTCCGCACCAACTCTCCACAGACAATTACCCCATATGGCGAAGTCAGATCTTAAAATTACTTCGCGCAAATGGGTTCGCTACTTTTCTTGAGTCTGCTCCTCTCTCCGAGCACGAACAAATCACTGATCGGAATCTCGCTGCGGCAATCTGCTCAACGATTTCATCGTCGGTGCTACCCTACATCATTCATCTTGATCTCACGTTGGAAATCTGGAAAGTTCTTGAAACAAGGTTTCAATCTTCATGCCGCTCCAAGGTCATCCAGCTCAAGAACGAGCTGCACAATTTCTCGATGAAAACTATCTCCATGACGCAATATCTGACTGAAATCAAGAAGATCGTCGATCAAATTGCTTCTACCGGATGCATTGTGGGCGCTGAGGACATTATCCTCTATATCGTAAACGGCCTCCCACCGCTGTATCAACCATTCAAAACTTCGATCCGGACAATGCTGACCTCGATCAGCCTTGATAATCTTTACGCGCTCTTAATCAGCGAAGAAATTCATTTACAGAATGAAGCGGCTCATCTTCCTACTCCGGCGGATCCTAATATGGCCCTGTATACGCGTAGAGGTCGTGGCCGCAGAAACTCAGCCGACAATCTCAAAATTCAAATCCTAACATTCGCACTACTCAACAAAATTCTGTTTCTTGCCAAATATGCAACAAACGTGGACATACGGCTGATGTCTGCTGGCACAGACTGAACACCGCCTACACACCGCAAACTACTCAAAGAACCAATGCGGCACTTCTTGCCAATACTGCCACTCCTTCCAGTGAATGGTTTCTTGACTCAGGCGCCTCCTCTCATATGACGAATGAAGCCGACAATCTTACCACTGCAACAACATATCATGGTTCGGACAGCGTAATCATTGGGGATGGAAGGTCTATACCCATTGCTCACTCGGGCACGGGTCTCCTTCCAACCCCAAACCGTAAGCTCTTTTTGTCTCAGATTTTGCATCTTCCAGCTATTTCCTACAATCTCATATCTATTTCTGACCTTGTAAAAGATAACAATATTTCGGTCACATTTGATCCTCTTGGTTTTACTGTTAAGGACCTAATGACGCAGCAAACACTACTTCAAGGGCCATGTAAAAATGGTCTATACCCGATCAACCAGACGATCTCCAGCACCAGACCATCTGCATTAGCTGCTATACGAACACCTTCTACTACCTGGCACAACAGATTGGGACATCCGCACCACAGAGTCGTCCAGCATATTGCCCGCTCGAATCCTCTGCTTCATATACCGCAACATAGTTTTAATTGCATTTCTTGTATGACTTGTAAGGGTCATAAGTTACCCTTTACAAATTCTGTATCTCGTAAAACCGAACCTCTTGCATTAATACACTCTAATGTATGGGGACCCTCACCGGTCTCCTCCCATCAGGGATATCACTATTATATTTTGTTCATTGATGATTTTTCCCGTTTTACTTGGTTATTTCCGCTCAATCTAAAATCTGATGCTACAATGGTTATTATTAACTTTCTTAAATTCATTGAACGACAAACTAGTCACAGGGTAAAGGCTATCCGTACTGATGGAGGTAGTGAATACGTAAACAATCAACTTAGGATGTATCTTGATCATACCAGCATTCAACACCAAATCTCTTGTCCATACACGCCGGAGCAAAACGGCACGGCTAAAAAAAAAACACAGACATGTGGTTGAAACAACTCGTGCATTGCTCCAAACTACTGTTGTTCCTAGCTCTTACTGGCCGGATGCCATGATTACTGCCACTTACTTAATCAACAGATTACCATCGGCCAATACCAATCACAAAACACCGCTTCAAATTTTGTTTAACATTCTACCTACCTATAATGAACTACGTACCTTTGTATGTATGTGTTTTCCGCTCACACCGAAACACACGCGACATAAACTTCAACAAAAAGCTATTTCGTGTGTCTTCATGGGATACTCTGAATTTTACAAATGTTACAAGTGTTTTGACAGAGCATCCAATCGTATTACTATCTCGCATCACGTCTCGTTCATTGAGAATCTATTTCCCTTTCAAGAACCTGCTTCTAAGGTTCAGAAAACACATGACTCTATTCCTCCGTCGCTTCTTATTCCTACTACTACTGCCACGGCATCGGCTACTCCTCTCAATTCTCAACCTTGCTCTACCGATCCTACATCCACAAACGACAGTCCTTGCACCTCTCCTCATATTAATATCTCTACTACCTCTCCTCCTCGTCCACCCATTCGTCACTCTATGAAAAATCGATTTCAAACAGGGTCTCTCAAACCGACGATGCATCTCAATCTTCTACACAATCAATCTCATCCAACAACATTGGAACCTACTACATTTGCTGAAGCCAACAGACACAGTCAATGGAGGACGGCTATGGCCGAAGAATTCCATGCCTTGCAACAATAAGGAACATGGAGTCTAGTACCTCCACCTCAGAACGAGTCCATACTCGGCTGTCGCTGGACATACCGCACCAAAATGCACTCGGACGGCTCAGTTGCTCGGTTTAAAGCTAGGCTAGTAGCTCAGGGAAATTGACAACAACACGGTTTAGATTATGATGAAACATTCAGTCCGGTAGCTAGTCTACTTACGATCCGTGTATTATTTACAATTGCTCTCTTTCATGGTTGGCAGGTGCAACAACTAGATGTCGCGAATGCCTTTCTACATGGTCACATAGATGAAACAATATATATGCGCCAACCTAAAGGCTTCGAAGACGCAGCGAATCCAAATCATGTATGTCTTCTGCGCAAAGCAATCTATGGCCTTAAACAAGCCCCAAGGCAATGGTACACCACGTTCACGAACCATCTACTTACGTTGGGCTTTCGACACAGCAAAGCTGACCCGTCCTTGCTTACCCTTGCCAAAAACAACACGAAAATATATCTACTAATATATGTTGACGACATTCTGCTTACCAGAAACGATCAAGTTGCCATCTCGGATCTTCTTGTCAAACTTCAACAACGGTTTGCTATGAAGCATCTAGGAGCAGCTAATCACTTCTTGGGGATCAAAATTCAGCAACACAATTATAAGTACTTCTTGTCTCAATATTCTTATGCTTAGTCTATCCTACAGCACGCTAATCTTCTCAATTGTAATGCAGCTGCAAATCCTTCTTGCACTAAGTTACCTACTGACGTGCCTGAAGTATCTACACTAGCCGACCACACTACGTACAGACGAATCCTTGGATCTCTTCAGTATCTGACGATCACTCGTCCAGATCTTGCTTATGCAGTCAATAATTTATCACAACACATGCATGCTCCGTCTCTTCTACACGCTCATCTTCTCAAAAGACTCCTCCGATATGTTAAAGGAACGCTGGAGTTCGGCTTGCCTATTTCAAAGTCGAATCTCAAGCTGAAAAATTACTCTGATGCTGACTGGGTAGCAGATCAAGACACTCGGCGATCGGTTTCTAGGTACTGCACATTCCTTGGTAATACGCTCATTTCATGGGCTGTAAAAAAATAAACTACAGTGACCAGATCTTCCACCGAATCAGAGTATAGGGCACTGGCGTCGGCAACTGCAGATACAATCTGGATAAAAAGGCTTTTGAATGATTTTCATATAGATCACAATGAACCTATTGACCTCCTTTGCGACAATACATCTACCATCGCTCTCGCATTAAATCCCGTATTTTATGCGAGAACGAAGCATATTGAAATTGATCATAGGTTCGTTCGTAATCAAATTCATGAAAATCACAGTAATCTTTTACCCATTAGTACTACCGATCAAACTGTCGACATTCTTACTAAGCCTCTGTCCACTCCTCGATTCAAGTTTCTTCGCAACAAGCTCACAATCTCTCCGATTGATCAGCTTGAGGGGGGCTATTAGGACACTTGTATTAAGTAACACAAAATTGTACTTACTGTTATTTACAAGTTTACCTGTAATCTCTTATAAATAAAGTAGCTCTGCTCTCACGGTAGTTGAGACAGAACTTTCCTTTCTCTGTCATCATCTTCTTGTTCTTGAATCTCTACAGAACCATAGTTGATGAATTGTAGTAAATGGAAAAATAACTTATAGATATAAGTGTCACGACCCGACCCGACCGGGACGGATCCCGCCCGCACCGGGCCGCGGCCAGCCAAACAAACAGACCAGGATCTGGCTTTGGAATTTGCTTCGGAACTGATTCTTCCAAATATTTCAACTCAAAACAGACGCACAGAGTTACTATGAAACATCAAATGCAGCGGAACAAATCATCTATATTTTTCTTTTCCTCTCAAAACAATCATCTACAAATACAGTACATGGCTGACAGAAAGAACAAAGAAGAAAAGCCATGACTGTACAAAAATCAAAAAGTATAAAATACCTATAACTGATCAGACTCAGAACTCTAATCCAAGACCTTCTTCCCTTTGCCAGAACCTGAAAACCACGCAGAAAACAAGGGTGAGCTCAGCAGCTAGCAAAGAGATAAACCTCCAATCAAAACTTCCAGAATTCAAAACCAACCGCTTCAAGCCAAATCCGTACAGAAACCAGAACAGAATCAGACAGATATCAAAAGCGTGCAGATCAAAACGAAACAGATCAAACAGAACAGATACGGACATATATCAAATCTATCAAATCAGAACAGATATCAAATCAGAACAGATCTAAACGTAACAGATCAGACAGAACTGTACGAAAACAGAAGTCATATCCAATCAGATATCAGATAGTATTGTAATTAATAACTAAATTCCCTGACACTGACAACGGCTCGTACAGACAAAATTAATTCCAATTTATTTCGTCCCTAGAAGAAACTCTCGGGTTCAGTTCGTCCCGACGGTTCGTCCCGACCCTTCCAGGTTCGTACAGATGAAAATGACAGATTCTTCACAATTTTCTTCAGTTCGTCTGGGACTAAGGCCAGTTCGTCCGGGACTAACATCACTAAAAAAAACAGCTTCGGAGGGGTTTTACACCCGCGCACTCGCCAGCTCTCGCCCGCGCACCTGCTCGCACACGTGCCCGTGGAAGGGCCACCCGCCCGCTCATCTGAGGTTGCCCAAGCATGCGTCTGCACCGCTCGCTCCTGTCAACGCACCAACCCGCGCTCCCTCGCCCGAGGCTGCCCGCACGCATCTGCTAGCACCCGCCCGAGTTCGCGAATTCCGTGGTCCCGTGTCGAGTCGGGTCAACCCGGTAACACGATAGGTCGGGTCCGAGTCCTCATTTCTTACCCGTTTACATGCCCGGGTCGAGTTAGAGTTGACCCGGTTGAACCCCGGTCAGTTTCGGGTTCGACCCGAACCTAACCCGTGACCCGAAATTGACGCCCCTAACTGTGTGATCCCTATTGTATGAATTATAGAAATCAGGTGTACATAAATGGAGAATTGAGGCTCACTACTATAATTATATGTTAATCAAACCACAATAATGAGATGTAGAAAGTCAAGCGATGTGACAATGATTGTTGATAATGGTCTTCAATAGTAATTGCAAAAAAATACAACAAAGTACTTTGGTTCTCTGAGCTCTCAGATCTCTCCTTATGTGAGAAATGAGGGCCTTTTTAAGGAGATATTATTTGACAGAGGCCACACAAAAAGCTGCATCTGTACTCTAATCACATGAAGACACACATATTTTCTCTCTCTTGTACACACCCTTTGTACAATAGAGAAAAAAATATTCACGTGTCTTCACGTGACAAGACTACTAAAATATCTGATCGTCCTAAATTTTAAGTACGAGTCAGCTTCTTGTATTTCAAGCAAACACTAGTGCAACTCTTTCAACTGGGTGTGACCCCATGATTTTTTCCCTTTCAGGATTTTTAACGTAAAAATCCTAGTGTTTCTATTTCTCTCATGCTTGTGTGCTAGATCTGTAAAATATTGAGACAAAATTTTTTAACTCTATCATCGTGTATATTCTAGTCCGCTACCATTATATTTTTAACTGAGTAGCAATTATTAAGCATCGGAATATGAATGAGGTACTCTCCTCAACCAAACATCTGCATTTAGGCAATACATGTATTCTAAAAAAACAAAATGAAGAACAAATTATTCTAGGAAAAAGGAATACTAATACACGCGAATTATTTATCTAAAGTAAAATACACATCATTTCATAACGGCTACGCGAATCAAACAGGTCAACCAGAACAATGGAAATAAATAAATGCGAAATCCAATCCCCTAAGAACAAACAAGTAAACCCCAAAAAAAGGAAAACAACTGTGCATTCTCCAACGTAGCATTCTGTGAATCTGTCCTGGTTTCATCAGTGAAACGAAGTTGGCAGCTCCTCACTAGATCTTTTCTCCTGGCTGATTGCTTCAGCTGGTCGACCATGGAAACCACCGTCCTCCTCTATCACTGCCACGTAAAAGGAGCGTGAAATGGATAAAGTAATATAATTTTGCAGTTGATCATCCAAAATTCAAATGGACAGTAGATTGCTAAGACTCACCTTTCCTTTGGGCTTCCGTGGCCGGAGACTTGGGAGAACCGCCACCACCGCCGAGAAAAGAAGTAACAGTCTCTCTTATCCTCCCCACCACGCCCACCCCACTTCCAGCATCATCGGAGCCCGTTTTCACCGGCGGCGGTAACTCCACTGCCTCATTCTTCCTTTTCTGTCCGGCCTCCGTTATCAACTCTGAAAGAGCCTTCTCGTCCTCTCCTGGTGTCAGTTTCTCTGTAATGTAATCCTTAATTGAAATCCCCTTACCCTGTTTCTCCACCGCTTCATCTTCGCCTTCCTTTTTAGCATCGGGCTTGACCTTGGAAATCACCGCCGTCCCTGCATCGGACACTATTCCATACACCTTGGAAGCTGCCGATGAGACCATGCCGGTGTAGCTGCTGTTTTGGTCTTTGAGAGGCTCTGTTTCTCCTCTGTCGTTTTGCGAGGAGATGGTCAGCCCCTCCGGCGAGCGGCTGAGCTCTGGCGACACGTCAACCTCTGTTCCACCTGTCCAACCACGTAAGCGTTTAATGAAGAATGGCAGTTTAAAGACTTGCATTAGGTGATTAAAATCCCTATAATCATTTATTTATTTAGAAACAGAGCTTCTCCGTATTATACTCCCGACCGAAAGTCCCATTACCCTGTTTCTCCACCGCTTTATCTTCTCCTCCTGCATTTCTAGCATCAGGTTTCACCTTCGAAATCACCGCCGTCCCTGCATCGGCCATTTTTTCGTACACCTTGGATGCTGCCGAAGTGACCATGCCGGTGTAGCTGCTGTTTTTGTCTTTGGGAAGCTGTGTTTCTCCTCCGTCGTTATGGGAGGAGACAGTCGTCGCCTCCAGGGAGCGGCTGAGCTCCGGCGATTCCTCATCCTTTTCTCCAACTGTACAACCAAACGGTTAATGAAAAATGGCAAGCTAAAGACTTTTAAGTGTTTAAAATCCCTCTAATTGTTTATTTGTTTAGAAACAGTGCTTCTCCGTTATATACTCCTCATTGAACTTTTAAGCCCCTTACCCTTTTTCTCTACCGCTTCGTCTGCACTTTCCTCGTTTCTGCTATCAGGTTTCACCTTTGAGATCACCGCCGTCCCTGCATCGGCCATTTTTCCGTACACCGTGGATGCTGCCGACGAAATCATTCCGGTGTAGCTGCTGTTTTGGTCTTTGGGAAGCTTTGTTTCCCCTCCGTCGTTTTTGGAGGAGACAGTCAAGGCCTCCATGGAGCGGCTGAGCTCCGGCGACACGTCAACCTCTTCTCCACCTGTCCAACCACATAAGTTTAATGAAGAATGGCAGCCTAAAGATTTAGGTTCATCCCTATAATTGTCATTTCTATAGAAACAAAGCTTCTCCGTGTTATAAGTCCCTTACTCTGCTTCTCCGGCGCTTCATTATGGCCTCCCTCTTTTCTAGCACCAGGTTTCACCTTTGAGATCACCGCCGACCCTGCATCGGCCATTTTCTCATACACCTTCGATGCTGCCGAAGAGACCATGCCGGTGTAGCTGCTGCTTTTGTCTTTCGAAAGCTCTGTTTCTCCTCCGTCGTTTTGAGTGGAAAGGGCCATGGCCTCCAGGGACCGGCTAAGCTCCGGCGAAACCTCCATCTCTTCTCCACCTGTCCAACCACGAAATCGTATAATCAAAGTGACGCTTTTTCAAAAGTTTTAAAATTAAAAAATAAGAACATATAGAATGAAAAACCTCGGCTCTGTTCTTTTTGGGAGTTCAGTTCAGCTTCGGTTTTGGGCGCAGCTGGATCCTCAACCAACTCCATGTTGATCACACCCAAATCATCGCCAACTCCCTCAGCACTTTCTGCTACTCCTCCAGACAAGTCATTCAATCCAGCTCTCGAACCAGTTTTTGGGCTCAAATTTACTGCCACAGCCATGTAAATTAGGCCAAAACAGAGCAACTTAAAGATATCTACCAACATTTACTTTTAAGCAATTAAATGGCAAACCTCGACCCTGTTCAGTTCTCGTATTTAGTTCATCATCTGTCCTGGGCTCGGCTGGGTCCTGAACAAAATCCTTCGTATTCAAACCAAAGCCATTGTCAACTCCTGTAGCAGCTTCTCCTCCTCTCCTCACTTCATTTGCTCCAGTTCTGGCACCTGTAACTGGATTCTCATTCACTGCAATAGCCATATTAAAAAAAAATTATAAATTTGCATTGGGATTGCCACAGTTGGGATGAACAAAATTGCACCGCATATATTCAACATAATTTAAATCATATATTCTACTAAAATTATGACATATTAAATGAAAATTCCTGGATTACGTTGCAGGGCTGGATCCTCAACAGAGTCTTCCTTGATCACACCCAAACTATCGCCTCCCTCAGCACCTTCTCCTCCACCTCCTCTCAGCTCGTCGGCTGTAGATCTCAAACCTGTAGCTGGACTCTCATAAGCTGCCACAGCCATGTAAATTTGCTTAGATAGAGCCACTTAAAACTATATAAAACTTAATATTGAAAAATAATAACATGTTTAAATGGTAACCTCGACTCTGTTCAATTCCCGAATTCGCTTCAGCTTCAGTCCCGGGAAGGGCTAAATCCCCAACAAACTTCTCCGTCATCAAACCCAACCCATTACCACCTCTCTCTGCAACTTTTCCTCCCGAAATTTCATTTGCTCCAGTTCTCAAACCAGTAGCTGGACTCTCATATTCTGTCACAGCAATATATTAAATTAAAACAGAGCAATTGCAAATAAAAGTTAAAATATAATTACAAGTTAAACGGCAAACCTCGAGTCTGTTCAAATCCCCTGTTTGTTTCTGGATCAAACCTGGGCTTGGCTTGATTCTCATTAACACCAGCAGCTGAACGCCCACACCATCAAAGCCATGTAAGGTTATTTAAAACAGAGAGAGTAAAAGATATACATATATGAACAGAGTACGCACTTGGGAAACCATGGATTGCGGGGTCTGTATTTATCTCCTCCTCCTCCTCAAATTCCTCGTCCCCTTCATCCAAGTCGCCGCGCTGGGCATGATCATCGTCGTCGCCTCCGTTGCCATGGCCGGGGGTTTTCTTCCTGATGACTTTCTTTATCTTCTTCACCTTGTCCATAACTTTCTTCAACACAGGCTTCTTCTCGTGGTGTTCTTCTTCTTGCTCACTGGATCGGAATGGGGTGGTGCTCGACGGTGCTGTGACTGGATCCATATCTCAGCTATGAAGAATTACAAGAATTACGAGAAATAGAATTGTGGAATTTAGTTTGATGCAGGTAGAAAACTATAGGGAGGAGCTGGTTATAATGGTGAAGGCTGGGCTTTAGAAATAACCAGATTCGCAAAGGGGTATAGATTTTGGCTTTTAGCTTAGAGGCCACGTATTGGATAACGTGTAGTAAGGGGGTTGGAGCAGCAATGCATGTTGGCCACGTCACAGGCCAAATGGGCAAATATTTTTTAATGTTGTTGGACAGCTAGCTATTCTTAGGAAACTCACCGAATGTGCTTTTAAAGGTTTCTGGGTTGGGGATACCAGAAGTTATTACATCCGGTCAAAAATTGAACCGTCCGAATATATAACGAGCAATACCGAGTTTTTGATGATGTGGCGCGTGGTTATTGGCCTCTGAACGCGTTCGGTTGACCGAACGTAATAATTGCTATGAGGATAGGGGTGACAATGTTTGATCCGAAAATTCAAAATTGATCTTGGTCACCCCTCAACCACAACGCTCTCTAGCTTGTGCCCACGACTGCACCAACGTTCGACTGCACACACTCAACCCCTCCCTTACAGACTCGTCCACAGGTTCTTCCCCCCCCCCCCATCCCTTTTGTTTGCATGCGCTTGTGCATGCCCACATCAGCTTGCGTCTCCCTGCCTTGCAAGTTAACAATCCAGGTTTATATTTCTGACCCGTTCGTATGATCGGGTCTGCTCAATTGAAGGCGGATCAATTTTGGATTGGACACGAACCGAAAACCATTTTAACCACCCTAGTTGTGAGCAACAAAATTATTATATTATGATGATTTAATTGGTTATTTAATGAAAAAGAATGTATATTTTTCACATACACAATATATATTACCTTACTCTTATATGATATGTTGTAGCTCTAAAATATTTATATAATATTGATGTATCATTTGTATTACTAATTTTCAAAGTTAAATACTGAATCATCTGTACTATAATAAGACTTTAATTTCAATAAATTGGTTATCGAATTGAATGTTTTGATAAATGAGCCAAACGACACTAAAGTGGTTCAATCCGAAACTAAATGTCCCCTAAATCAAACACATGAAAGTATGCTTGAAAACTATGACGTTGACCAAACATTCTTCATATATGTTTATAGTCTAATGGAGCCGAACAAAATAATCATTCAATTCTTAAATCATTAATGAATTTAAATACTAAATTAGATATTTATAATCAAAGAATTTAATATGATTATGCAGTGGAATATTATGATTTTTTTTAATATACCAAGATCTCACTTTAAAAAATATTATAAATAAATATTCATTCTCCACATGAAAAGGTAATCAATATTCAAGATTGGAAAGAGTTTAGAGTTATGAAGAAGTCAAGACCTCTACTCAATGTTCAACATCGACAATCACCTCTATCCAACGCCTTTGTTAGATTGTCATCACTGGACGGTTATCACCCGATCACTTAATAATCATCGTCTAACTGTTGTCATTTAACTGACATAGTTCATTCACTATCATTCAATCATTGCAATCCTATTGTTATAGCTTGACCACCAACACCTAATCACTGTCATTCGACCATTGTTGCTCAATTGATCTCGTATGATTATCATCATCATCATAATAATCATCTATCTACTATTTATCTCACAATCTCTGTTATAACTAAACGAGACCAATCAATAACTCTCAATTTTATGACCCCAACTTTCTAAGATGCAGAGAAGAACATATCACTACCAATGATTTTTCTCTTTCTAAAATTTTCACATAAGAACTCTATTGTCTCGTACTTTTTTCTCTTCTATCTTGTGTAATAAATCTTTGTGTAAAGTAAGCATATAAATTCTCTATTTTTATGAATTTGTTAGCACACAACAAATATGATTTTTTAATAGATGGTGCTCAATATAATAATTTTTTTGGGGATTTAAATACATAGCCCTCAAAATGATCTCAATTATAAATTTAATACCAAAATTTCAATATTTATATAATATAATATCTTAATTCTATTAATGTCTTATCGTATTGAGCTATGTTTTAACTCTCTTATGCTTCATCAAAGAGGGTTTTGAAGATAGAGGTCGGAGTAGTAAAAAAAAATGATTAGTTTTACTAACACTTGCCCTAGCAAGCTCCTCTGTGACTTTTTTATGCACTTGTCGAGGAGGATTTACAGAATTAAAGATAGTCTTACGATGTGTTGCATCACATAGGTATTGACGGCGTGCAAATGTAGCGATGAACTAGCATTGTTTTATGCAAATGAATTCACGACATGATATAGATGGCATATGAAGTTTTGAAAGTTAAGTTATATTTTTGTTGATATTTAATACTTTAATTATTATGAAAGTATATAATGAATTTTAGGGGTTAAATGTGTAAATTAAAATATTTTATTGCTAATGTTTTATTATATATGTACACAATGTTGGATCTTAAATTGTCCATAAGTGATTTTTGAACTTTGCTTATAAATTTGGGCAAAGCATAAAAGAGAAAAGTTGAGAGAAAATAGAACTTAGAGAGAGAGACTCTAAAATTTCATTAGATTGTATGAAAGCATAAGATTAATGTGCCATAATTTGTCAAGCTTATCTTCCAATCCATTATTTATAGATTTAGAATGGGGTGCACAAACATAGCAAATATTACATTTGAATAAGAGGAGTAAAATTATATTGCAAGTCTGAATAATATTTATTGCAAAAGTAAATAAATCTACCCAATCTGTGGTTGTCTTATCAGAGCCCTGCATTGGGTACCCATACCCATACCCACCCATACCCATTGGGTATGGGTGGGTATGGGTACGCTCATGACCTTGTGGGTGGGTATGGGTGGGTACTAAACATCGAGGGATAAATCGATTTACATTGCTATTCATTGTATATCTTACTTATACTATTGCAATCATCACTAAGTATTGTTTAGCACTTAACCACGCTACGAGTATGATAAATTTTGATATGCAACTTGAAAGTTTGTCATCATAGCAAATGACAACAAGCCTCAAGGCCAATCCGTCCGTGGCAGACTGTGTTCAAAAAACATGGAAAGTGGGTGGGTATAGGTGGGTACGAAATTCCGAAAGTCAACATGTGTGGGTGTGGGTGGGCGAAGCCCATCCGAGTAAAACATGGGTACCCAATGGGTACCCAACTAGGACCTCATGTAGGGCTTTGTTGTCTAATCAAGTGAATTACTTACTCTAGATGAGCTCTAGATAAAGTACGAGATCTTTGTGAATAATGCTTTTATGCTAAAGTCTTCAATGATGGTGTGAATGCGAGATAACGGCAAGTTTCTTTCCTACACAATGTGTAGAGGGAGTTTTGAGATTTCCCTGGATCAATCTGTTTTACTATTGAGGGTTTTTTTTTGTAAGATTGAGATTTTGTTTGGGACAGTTTTTTTATTGCTTATTAAAATCACTTTTTAAGTATAAAAATTTTTAATTTTTTTATTGAAAAACTGTTTTAAGAAGAAGTAAGAAAGGTGTCCCAAACGAAGCCTAAATATGATAAGAAATGATGTAACGATTGCAAATCTGAGACAAGTTTATGGCATTTAACATCTTCAAGTTTGAGATGTGTAAGACATTTGATGACTTCACCTCTACAAGATGGATTTAAAGTTTTATTTTGGACAGCTTTTGTACTACCTTCAATGGTATCTTTTTAGCACAAAAAAATCTTGAAACCAACCAAAAAAACTGTGCTAAAAAACTGTCCCAAACAGAACCTAAAATCACTTTCTAATTTGATTAACTCATCTAAATTGATCATGAACATATATGCAATATTTTTATTACATAAGATATGATATTTTTTATACCATATAGTTTCTACTAAGAATTTACAATCATAAAAAGAGTTTTAATATAAGAAAAGAATAATTGAACAATAACAAGATGATAACTTTAATATTTATTAAGCATGATAAGAAGTCCTCACTGAGTTTAATAATGAAGATAATGCTACTAAAGAATCCAATCTGTAGGCCAGTCAAAATACTAAAAATCATAGATGATAAGCTTTTCATAAATCCTGTGCATGCATATCCTATAACCCTACCGAGTGCTTAAATTTTTTTAAAAAAAATCAGTGACAAAGAAGGAGCATGACACCTGTTAACTATATATTAAAAAAAAAAAAAAAAATCTCATTTTGTCAACCGTTTTTTGTTCTCGGTTAATTCCTTAAGCCACCCTCACCGACTAGATTAATATATTCAGTTGCTACAGAAACAAATGCAAGCTGTAGTTCTAATCTTGTAGTGCAGCCCACTTTGATCTTGTTGTGTATTGTTCCTAGATTTAAGATTGCTTTTTATATATGTTTTTTGTATGGCATGTATGGCCATTTGTGTAGCTATTTGTATAGCTTTAGAAGTCTATTAATAGAAGTCTTTAGGTTGTAATAAGTGGCCAAGAAAGAAATAAAGTTTACAGAGTTTTTGTCTCTCTCTCTTCCTCTCTCCCTCCTTCTCTCTCGAGATCCGGTGGAAGTGCTTCTTCCTCAAGTGAAGGATCTTACACATCTATTGGTTGGAAATTTAGACTATCAACTAAGAAATCTTGAATTTGAATATTGCGTATGTGTTGCTTATGTGAGTTCATATTTAATTAGCTCAGAAGTCACAACAAAAGTTCAATATTGCATTTTGTCTTATTTTTGTTTTTTTTTATAATTTTTTATAATTTTTATAATTTTCCCCCGACGGCATAACAATTTTTCCTCTTTAATAAGATGTTTTGTTGGTTTCATGAGCATTGTGCTAGTGTGAAATTAGGATATATACTTGATATCAAATATTAAGTTGGAGTTGTTATATATTGTATTAGGCTGTCCTTCAATTGATTCACATCATAACTCACTAATGAAATTATTTAGCTTGAGCAATTAATTCTTTGTTTCACACTTCAACTTCAAATGAATGTTTTTTTCTTGCCTTGAAATATTTGCAGTAGTGCCTGTGGTCATTTTCTTAGCTTTTTTTTTTTTTTTGAACCATTTACACAATTAGCTTCTTTGAAAGGATTTCTGCATTGAATGAAAAAAAGATAACTATCAAAAGATTGCATAATGATTCTAAACAACCAGCAAACCTATCACCATCGTCATGACTCAATTCCATAAAAACACATCAATACCCTACAAGCAGGAGGGTTCAACGACATTGTCAAAGATCCATTCCACATTCAATATGTCAACTGCGACCAGAACGATTTGACATGTATTAAAGAATAACGACGATATATATCTAAGTGTATCCAAGTAAAAGCCCTCGTACATGCACCGTAATTTGTATACATATAGGTACACATAAGGGCATATATAATAATAATAATAATAAAACACCTGCATTGACCCCGACTAGCGTGTTATGGGTATACACGTGACGTCTAGGGATGCTGCGCGGGTCAATAAGTGAATTCAAGTTCGAACCCAATCCTTATATGCGGATCAATAGGAGTCGACAGGGTTCGAGCCATCAAATAAATATACGGTTGTGGCGACCGATATATTTATTTTTATACATTCATATTAGGTATTCAAGTCCTTTAATAAATAAAATTCATTAACAAAGGCATAAAGCCTACGAAGCCTGATCCTCTGTCGACAGCCAGACAAAGTCGACAAGGTTCAAGCTACAAATGAAAATGACCCCAAAAATCCAAACATATTTTTGATCTATTTGTCGTTCCATCCGCAAATAACACTCCTACTTCTTATACCGAAGCATCAAAACACGATCACGGGCGTGCAGCCATGTCCAATGAATATCTAGCCTTATAAAAATAAGGAACTTGATTTTTAGTTCTCGCCCCTCACGACAAACCCATTCGGGGCAGTAAATGGACAGTCAAGATAAAGCTCCACCCAAACGACAAAGTCGCTCGTTACAAGGCTCGTCTCGTCGCACAAGGATGCTCTCAGGAATTTGGTGTCAACTTCACCAAAACTTTTAGTCCGGTGGCCAAAATGGTTACAATTCGTATGCTCCTCACCATCGCTCTACATCACAAATGGCCAGTCACTCAACTCGATGTCTCAAACGCCTTCCTCCATGGCGACTTGCACGATGAAGTCTACATGAAACAACCTCGTGGGTTCGAAGATAACCAATATCTACATTTCGCCTGTAAACTCCACAAATCAATACATGGAACAAAGTAATCTCCAAGACAATGGTTCTAGAAATTTACAACATTTCTTCAACACCTCAGCTTCGAGTTCAGCAAGGCCGACCCCTCCCTTCTTTTTAATCAAGTCGATACTTGCATGTACATTCTTATATAAGTTGACGACATTCTCATCACAGGAAACAATTCTGCCAAAATACAGTCCACTTTGCAACAACCTCACTCCAAATTTAACCTCAAGCTGCTCGGTGACTTCTCACTATTCCTTAGTATCCATGTGATCAAAACAAATATGGCTATTTTTTAAATCAATCACACTACACAAATGAATTACTTCGCCAAGAAGATTTCGCTAACTGTAAACCTTTCAATACACCGGTGCCCACCAAGCAAACTAAACAACTGGACGTCCACCCATACTCTGATCCCTAACTCTTCCGCAAAATCGTCGAATCTCTACAATATCTATCAATCATCAGACCATACATTGCTTTCGCCACCAACTCAATCTTTCAACACATGCATCATCCTCACAACTACAACTACCAAGCACTAAAGCGTCTACTGAGGTATCTCAAAGGAACGCTTGACTTCGGCCTCCCATTAACAATCGGTGATCTACTTCTCTGCAGCTACACTGATGCCGACTGGGCAGCCGATCCCACTGACCGAAAATCAATATATGGATTTTGTACCTTTCTGGGCCACAGTCTAATCTCTTAGTCAGTCAAGAAACAAATGACCGTCGCAAGATCATCAACAGAAGCTGAATACCTATCGCTCTCATCCGGCACCTCGGACATTCTATGGATCCGCCGCCTAGGAGATGAATCCCGCATTAAACAAAATCTTCCAACGACAATCTATTGCAACAACACCTCCGCTATAGCACTAGACAACAACCCCATCTTCCATGCAAGGACAAAACATACTGAGATTGACTATCACTTTATCAGTGGACACATCCAACAGGGCGACATCAACATTGTTTACATCTGCTCCACCGATCAAATCGCTCACATACTCACTAAATCTCTTCCCATTAACCGGTTCAACAACCCAAGGTCCAAATTAACCATTCCATCCCAGAATGATTAATTTGAGACGGGCTGTTAGGGAACTGGCCATGTAAGCAAACCGTTTCATCCTTTGAAAACATAGACACCTTTTGGACATCACAAGAACTCTGCTTCACGCGGCAAACTTACCTTCAAAATTTTGGGCTGAATCTCTTACCACTGCTCACTATCTGATCAATCGTATACCAAGCAAAGCCACTCATCCTCATAGTCCCCACTACCTTCTTCACGGACAACATCCTTCCTATTCGCATCTTCGGACCTTCGGATGCCTATGCTTCCCTTGGCTCAAGCCTTACACCTCAAGCAAGCTGGAGTCACGCTCTCGAGAATGCGTGTTTCTCGGGTATTCCACTACGCACAAAGCATACCGCTGTCTAGACATTCAATCCAACAAAATTTACATATCTAGGCATGTCACTTTTCAAGAAGACATTTTTCCTTTTAAAACCATGCAATCAAACATCATACCATCTTCTCCTTCGTCGTTTCAGTCACCTCTTCTTCTCACTCCAGCATCCACTATAGTTTCCCCTTCCACTATCCCTTCATCTGTCCCTCAAGACCACGTCTATGTTTCACCTCAGCCATCCATGGATTCAACACCGAGAGGTACGTCATCAAATTCTTCACAGCAGCACAGCCTAGCCAATACAGTTCCTCTGCCCAGTCCTCCGGTCAGAACTCATCCCATGCACACAAGGCTCATGTCTGGCATTACTAAACCACGACAGATTCTGGACCTTTCAGCTACAACAACAACGGACGCTACCCCAACCTCTTTCACACAGGCGAATATTCATGCACATTGGCGGTTGGCGATGGCTACCGAGTACGAGGCCCTCACCCAGCAAAGCACATGGTCCCTTGTTCCTCCTCCTCACAACTAGCCGATTATCGGATGCAAATGGACATTCAAAATCAAACGTGACTCGTCCGAAAAAGTATCACAATACAAGGCCCGCCTCGTTGCTCTTGGATGTGCTCAAGAACTCGGTATCAATTACACAGACACGTTTAGTCCCGTCGCAAAAATGACTACGATCCGAGTCTTGATCACCTTAGCTCTACACAACAACTGGTCCATTCTTCAATTAGATGTATCCAACGCCTTTTTACATGGGGATCTTCAAGAAGACGTTTATATGAAACAACCCCAAGGATTCAAGGACCCCATTCATCCGAACTTTGTATGCAAGCTCAACAAATCTATCTATGGCCTGAAACAATCCCCGCGGCAATGGTTCAGCAAAATTACTAGCTCGTTGCGCGCATTCGGCTTCACCTTCAGCAAAGCCGACCCCTCTCTCCTCATTTATACGAAAGATCGGACATCCATATTTGTATTGATCTACGTCGATGACATCTTAGTCACGGGCAATGATAAGTCTACAATTACCTTACTTTTAAAACAGTTACATTCTAGTTTTAAACTCAAACAACTTGGTGATATTTCCCTTTTTTTAGGAATACAGGTAGACAAAACTCCTACGGGATACTTTTTGCATCAACAGCACTATGCCAAACAGCTTCTCCACACAGCCGGGTTCAACAACAGCAAAGCCGCTCTTACACCGATGTCTCTCAAGCAATCCACTGCGATCCACACCCAGGCAAGTTTTTCCGATCCTAAGCTATACCGAAAACTTGCAGGTTCCCTTCAATATCTTTCTATTACTCGTCCCGACATCGCATTCACTACTAATTACATATGTCAACATATGCATGATCCATCGGTTGCCGATTTTCAAACTCTCAAACGCCTGTTAAGGTACATTCAAGGAACCGTTGCTCTTGGCATTCCAATTGATCGTGGAGATCTGCAGCTTCGCGCCTTTGCCGATGCCGACTGGGCCGCGGATCACACAGACAGGCGGTCTATCACCGGGTTCTGCACTTTTTTGGGCAGCACGATCATTTCATGGTCAGCAAAAAAACAAGTGACGGTTGCCAAATCTTCAACTGAAGCTGAGTATCGGGACATCTCTTCGGTCACCTCTGAAGTTATCTGGCTTCGTCGATTGTTGGCCGAACTTCACATTCCTCAGACTGAACCTACTACGCTATATTGTGATAACACATCTGCTATCGCTCTCGCTAACAATCCGGTTTTTCACGCCCGGACAAAGCATATTGAGCTCGACTACCACTTCATTAGCGATCACATCAAAGCCGACGCGATCAAGATTCTCCACATGAGCTCCGCGGAGCAACCAGCCGACATTCTTACAAAACCTCTACCTAAGGACCGATTTCTGTTTTTACGCAGCAAACTAAACATCCGCTACCCAGATGTTTAGTTTGAGGGGGCATGTTAGCCTATGTATACATTACAGCTGGTCCCCATCTTTGGTTCTATTCCTAAGTGCTGTAAAGTCTATGGTGTACGGTCTAGCTTTGTAGTTTATATATACCTCTGCTTAGTCTTGTAATACGACAGATAATTCAATACAATTACATTTCATTTCTTTCTCCCTCGTCTCTCTTTCGTCAGATCCATTTCGTTGTCATGGTATCAGAGCGAATCGCCTAGCGGCACATTTTCTTGCGTTCGTCACAATCTTGATCGTCTCCTTCTTCTTCTTCCTCGGTCGCCTCGTCTCCCATGGCCGATCAAGAATCATCGGCTTCGGCTCAAAGAGAGTCCAGTCTCACCGCGACACTGGAAGAATTCGTGGTTCCCGCTCCCCTCAAATTTCTAATTTCAAATCTCAAGAATCTAGTTCCGACCGTTCTCACCAACGAGAACTACTCTATATGGCGTCACCAAATGCATCAGCATTTTGCTGCAAACGGTTTCAGTGGGCATCTTACAGGATCCAGCTCGTGCCCTCCCACCTCGGCTGCCGATGATCATCGGCTTTGGATTCTCATCGATAGGAATCTCATGTCCGCGCTTCTGTCGACGATTTCTGCTTCGGTGTTGCCTTACGTGATCACGCTGTCCACAGCACACGAAATCTGGTCGGTTCTTGAATCCAGACTGCAACCCACGAATCGATCGAGAGTAATCCAGCTTAAGAACGAATTACATCAGGTTCAAATGAAAGACCGATCAATGCAACAATACTTGACTCAAATCAAGCATATCGTCGACAACATCGCTGCCGCGGGATCCAAGATCGACAATGAAGATATCATCCTCTACACATTGAACGGCCTTCCAACCATCTATAACTCCTTCAAGACAGCGATCAGGACCTCCCTAACGCCTATCTCCCTGGAAGATTTCTATTCTCTTCTTTGTAGTGAAGAGATCAATCTTCAGCATGATCATTCCCAAGAACTCAGTAATCCGTCCGACAACACTGCTCTCTTCACTGGTCGGACCAAGTCCAATCGCGGCCGCTTCACCAGATCTCAATTCAAGAACCAAGGCGTGCGAACCAACCCCAGCAACGATGCTCGCACTCCACGAACTCAATCCTCTGTTCAGCGCCCGATATGTCAAATTTGCGGCAAAACAGGGCATACAGCGCTAGACTGCTGGCATCGCTGCAATCTACAGTACGCTCCTTCCTCCTCGGCGAACCCTCGAGCTCACTACGCACAGCATCAAACTACACCAAATACCACTGAATGGATTTTAGACTCGGGCGCCACCTCTCACATGACTCAAGATTTGTCCAATCTCAGCACCGCGTCTTCCTACAATGGCCATGACTCTGTCTCGGTGGCTAACGGCACTAGCGCCTCAATCCAGCACACTGGTAACGGTCTTCTTCCTCTCCCGGAGACCGCTCGTAAGCTTCGCCTTCAAAACATTTTACACGTTCCGTCAATTTCCCATAATCTTGTTTCAATTTCCAAACTAACTACAGATAACAACATTTCAATTGTCTTTGATGCTAATGGCTTCGTTATTAAGGATTCTCAGGACAACCGGCAACTTCTTCGTGGTCACAAACGTAACGGACTTTACCAGATTAGCTCCTCCTCTACTTCCGGTCCTTCTGCCTTGCACGTTCGGAACAGCTACACGCAGCGGTGGCATGCCCGTCTGGGACATCCGAATCCGCAGATCGTGTCGTCTTTATCAAAATTCATTCCTGATCTACATGTTTTTTCCAATAATACTGATGTCTGTATTTCTTGCAAGTTGTCCAAATGTCATAAAATTCCGTTTACTAATAGCATCACTGTTAGCACAAAACCGTTTCAACTTGTTCATGCCGATGTCTGGGGGCCATCCCCATGTCAGTCTATGAATGGTTTTAGCTACTATGTGATCTTCATTGATGACTTCACGCGATATTCATGGCTGTATTTGATGACTGCAAAATCCGAGACATTTTCAAAATTTAAAATCCTGTGTAATTTAATTCACAATAAATTCAACACCACCATTCAATATTTTCGTTCTGACGGTGGTGGTGAGTTTATTAGCAATCAATTTACCAATTATCTTCAGGAACACGGGATCACTCGTCAGCTCAGCAGTCCTCACACTCCGGAGCAGAACGGCATGGCTGAAAGGAAACATAGACATCTTTTGGATATCACAAGAACTCTGCTTCACGCGGCAAACTTACCTTCAAAATTCTGGGCCGAATCTCTTACCACTGCTCACTATCTGATCAATCGTTAACTTATTGAAGCAAAGAAAGTACGAAAATAAAGGCTGAATTTAACTTTAAACTAAATAATTCTAATATATTTGAGTATATTTTATATTAATTTATTTTAAATGAGCTGACTCTTTGACTAATGAGTCGAATTGAGGCTGATTAAAGCTTGGCTCGTTAGGCCATTAAGCTCGGCTCACGAGTCAATTTGGCTCATTCAGGCTTTGTTTTGGATAGCTTTTGATTTTTATTTTCAAGAAATTTTTGTACTAAAAAATGCTTTAAAAATTTATGAAAACAATCCTAAACAATGCCTTATTACAGCCGGGGGGTTTAGTCCGAAATTTAGAAAAGCCTGCGTCAAGCACTTCCTGCGAGTGATTTCCAAAAAAAAAAACTTGTATGAAATTTGAAATCATATCTTCATAGAGTATATTAATTATTTTATATAATATATCTAAACAGTAAAGTGATTAATTGAATCTCAATATAAAAATTAGCTGAAGCAAAATTAAAGTTAAGTCCCCTTTAAAAATTTCTGGCTTCGCCACTACTTACACAGCCTAACTAGAGAAGGTATGAACATGAAGCTTTAATTTAACCCTCTTAGCTTATTGAAGCGATGATTTTTTTTTATAACACTTTGATAATAGAAAAGAATGGAATTAAAAGCTGAATTTAACTTTATTATAACATAAAAGAAATAAAATATCCTTCTTTTAAGAACACAAATAGCTTGGTCTCATTCAACACTAGAATCTATACACCTTCTATACCATTATTTGCAACCTTTAACTTTCCAATGGTCAAAAATGAATGTTTATGTTTATGGAAGTTTGAGCTCTAAGATGAAAAAGCTAAGGAATTAGCCACTTGGTGAAATGATTTGAGTGAGGAGACCAAGGAAGCCTTTGTGTGGGAACTAAGCCAACATGATTGGGTGTTGAATGGTATTATTAAAGCTTTTGATTTACTGTGTTGGATATAAAATTATGAAGCATTTGGTATAATCTTTATTCAAATACTCTTATTATGTTCTCAATGGGAGTTAAATATTTAAAAGCAACATATTCTTGGCTCTTGTGCCCATTCTATGCATGATGCTTGTAAAGCCAACATAAAACTAAGCTTTTTTTTTTTTGGTAATTAAAAATTTAAATACTGAAAATATGTTAGATTCCATATAAATTTTAAAAATCCCCCCAAAAATATAGAATAAATGTGTTCTATGTAATATTTGGTTGATCTTTAGATCATGCAAAACATTATTAATATAAAATTATTTATGCTTTTTCAATTATGCAATGTAATAACTCATTGGGCTACGAACGACCTAGAGATGTCGTGAGGTAGGCAAAGGCGAAGAGCAACAAAGAGGAGGTCGTGCATGGGATGAATGATCGAGATGTTTGAGGTCGGAACCGGCGAGCGGGGGCGAATTGGATACTTGAGATAGTCAATCATTTTGACATTTTTTTTTTCATAACTTTTAATATGACAAAGAAGCTTCTCCAAGATGCTGACAACATGAACATGAATATCTTATGTAAGAAGCTATATTAAGGGTTAGAACAACTTATGATAATGTTGATTGATCGTGATTTGTTCTACACAACTAATGCTAATATCAATTATCAGTAAGACATCAGGAGAAATGAAAAGATAAAATAGAATGGTACACAATAAATAGCAAAAATGATATGCTCTTAAAGAGTATCAAATCAAGCTGCATATAACAAAACAATGGCCTGTAAGACGCTTCTAACTAGCTAGCTGCTTGTAGCAGTAACATAGATGAGTAAATCAGATGATAACCTGTAAAAAATAGAAGGGATGAGGACTGCAGAAAACAAAGTGGACGTTAACAAGATCATAATTATAAATACCTGATGTTCATTATCAATAGTCTAGCTTGTTAACAAAACAATTTACAGTCAATTTAATTAGACAAACCTAATTTCACATGAAAAGTTGAGTACAACTGCTTCAATCAAGTTTTTTGTTTTAAGAATTGTTTTCCACTGTTGATTGGAGCGTCACCATATCTCCATTTGTTCACCTGATGTTTCAGATTTGTTAGAGTGGAGATATAACCATTCAGACCAGTTTCTAGAATGTAAAAGAAGATCGACATGACAAAGAACATCAGTATAAGTGGCTTACTGCGTATAGCATATTTACTTGATAATTGAATAGATCAAAGATGACGCAGGGGCTAATGAGGAGAGTAGCTCCTTTTCTTATGATTAGTGTTGGTATAGCTTAATAAGTGGCCTTCGTTGTTTGGCCTAAGAGTGGTCTGTATAAATAATGTTGTAAAACGTTAATAAGACAGATTTTTTGGATTTGGTTCAATTTGTGTCTTGTTTCTTCCCTGTCCTCCTCTTGTCCGTTCTCTGTAACTTGGCCTGGGCCAAGGGGTGAAGAGGGATTGCAGGTGGAAGGTTCGGAGGAGCTCCTCCCCGGAGCAGCTGGGTCGCCGTTCTCTTTTCTCCTCGGAGACTAGGATCGGCATCAAAAGGCTTATCATAACTCTTACAAATGCATGGTCACAATCAAATATTGACGGTAGAGATCATCGAACTTGGTAGCTAAACAAGGTGACAGATTTGTTTCAATTTCTCTTTTTTTAAAGATCCATTTAGGATAGCTGCAGTTTTTTTAAAGTGGTTTTGAACAAGTTGAAAATAAAATAATTTTTTTTATGCATAGTAGAAAATAACTTCCAACTATAAAAATTTCCAAAAATAGTAGTCAAACAAAAACTGTGGTCAGAGTATGAAAGATAAAGCGATAAAAAAACTGTCTTAAATGAAGCCTAAGTGCCTTCTTTCTCGGATCTACATAGGCCGAAGTTCATCAAAGTTGAAATATAAAGAAATCATTATAATGTG